AGAATAAGTATTCAGAGTGTTTGTCAAAGCAAAAGTAGAAAGCATATGCGGAAAAAGTATCAATCATGAAGAGAATACCCTGATTTCTCTCAGTTATAAAATCTAGGTTTATGGTCAGAATCAGTTGATTTTTCATGATAGTCTCCCTGTGGCTTCCTGCCCTAAGAACCATCTGACGCTATTACTCACTCCTCAGCCACTTTAATCATTTTACTTTGCAGTTTTCTTTTGGAGCACTGAGCATCTCAGCTCAGGTTAAACATAGGTAGGAAAAGAGATTTTCTACTCAGAAGCTTGTCAAGTGCAATTCCACACCCTGTAGAGAAGGAAGGCAGGTAAACAGAATGTGAATCTGACCACAAGCCTGACTACTGACCTCTTCAGGGACAAGTGGTTCGATCATGGGGGCATCCTCCTGCCTGGCGGCCAGTCGCACCGGGGAGGTGGAAAGCCTCTTCTCCCATTCATTCGTTATGGCAGTGTCTGTTGAAGTTTCTAAGAAGGTTCTTTTTAGCTCGCTAATGTTGGTTTGATGTTTCATCAGGTCATCTTGAGTTTTTTCTAGCTCCTATATTCAGAACACAAAGTATCCAACAGTCAACGTTTCACATGTGTGTTCCTTTCAGCTCTTTTGTTCGCTTTTAAAGTAATGTCAATCTTATTAGTAGTCAAAATAAAACAAAATTTTGATCAAGGCTCATGGCACTACCACAAACACTCTGGTGAAAATGTGATTTTCCCATGGAAAGGAAACAGAAAAAAAAAAAAATCTAGTTCACACAAACATGAATACCAAAAGAATTTTGGAAGGTAAACTATAAAGAGTACCATTCACATGTATCCTGAGAGAATTAAAATAAATAGACATACAGGAAAAGGGATCTATATCTAGGAGAGAATAAGGAATCAGAAGCTGAGAAGTCATCCCCACTTATTAACAGATGAGCACACAGTTCATGCATCACAGTACAAGCCCAGAGGTATTACACTGAAAGAAAAACACCACACACAAACATGCACTGGTATATACCAATACCAACCTCTAACATAAGATTACTATGTTTGACATACACATTTTCACCCTTTATTCGTTTAATCAGACTATTCTGAAAAAAGTGGAGAAGAAAGGGAAAAGTAAGGGACACAGTCGTCAAGGGAACAAATGCCAACCTACACACTGCACCAACAACATGGTAACCAGCTACAGAGCATGCTGAAAGATCTGAACGCTGTAGACAAACAACGACTTATCACACACTGTTTTTTTTTTTTGTATTATTGTTGTTGTTTTGTTTTTAATGTTCTACCTGTGCCTTGAGCTCTGCATCTTCCTCCTGGTCCGACTGCCAGCATCAAGAAAGAGTGGGAAATAAAGTCTTACATGCAATTTACTCTAAGATTGAAGAACTATGGTCTACACAGACTTGCTAAATGTGGGCACTTGTATGCTCTTGCATATGGATGCCACTTCTTTCTTATACACAAACCACAACATTCTCACACACAATTAGGAAGCTTAATAAGAATATAGGAACATAGGAGTGAAAGAGTTCTTGCCTGGTGGGTCTTTGGCATTTTGACCAGCAGACACACGTGGTTGAGAGGGTGACAGCAAGGGTGTGGCAGGTTTTTCTTGATGAACATTAGAAATAGTTCAGGAAGCGAGGGGAGCCAGATTAAAATTAAAATTTGTAAGAATAGCTATGATGATACAATAATGAGAGCTCAAGTGTAGTGTATGAATCCCGCCCTATGAGGTTAGTAATTATGATTCCCAATTGGTAGACCAGAGAACCCATGCTCAAAGAATATGAAGAATTTTTCATGGACATTCCCACAATTTAAAGTTTCTTGAGACCGTGATTTTCTTTTTTCTTTTTTTTTGTTTTTTGACAGAGTCTTGCTTTGTTGTCCAGGCTAGAGTGCAATGGTGCGATCTTGGCTCACTGCAACCCCCACCTCCTGGGTTCAAGCAATTCTCCTGCCTCAGCCTTCCGGGTAGCTGGGATTACACGGGCCTGCCACCACGCCTGGCTAATGTTTTGTATGTTTAGTAGAGACGGGGTTTCACCATGTTCACCAGGCTAGTCTTGAACTCCTAACCTCAAGTGATTCCAAAGTGCTGGGATTACAGGCGTGAGCCACCACGCCTGGCCAATTTTCTTGAATGTATATAGTTAAGAACAAACTTGGGAGGGGAGAAGGCAAATATGGGGCAAGTAAGAAAGTTTTTTTTAAAAAGAGAAATCAACTACTATCAACAACAGCATGATTTCTTTTACAGGTTTTAGACGGGACAATTTTTGAGATTTGAGAAAATACAGTTATCCCAAAGCCACCTCATTCTCCTGGTTTTTCTAATTTCAAGGAGCAGTCTAATCCCTGGACTGCTGTCTGAGTATCAGTAATTAGTAAGCAGGCCAAGCCACATGTGTATGCAGCAGCAAAGCTCTGTCTCTCACTATGGCTCTCGGACTCAGGACTGGGTATTATGCCCTTGTGCTAGGAGAGGAGACCCAGAATGAAATTCGAGGGAGAAAAGGATCACACCAAGTCAGGGGCCTTAAGAAAATCATTTAGTCTACCTAGGTCTCCCTCTTCTTATTTGCCAATGGGGACAAGACTGCTTACTCTTCATATTCTATACTGACCACTGTTGTGTTGGCCACCTATAGAAGGGGAAGAGTTTCATCAGTATCACGGGGCAAACAGGAAATTGAAACACAGTGCTAATGTGCTGGTGACACGCCCATTCTTCAGTGCAGGGGGTGCACAGCTCTTCATTTTATTTTCAAACTTCATAATCTACCTATGTTACAGGTATTCCCTTGCATGCTTTAAATGTTATATAACAAATTTTAAAACTACTGTAGAAGTTTAAGGTATTATTATTAACATATTTTTCCTTTTAGCGCAGTTGAAGATTCCAATGAAATTTACTGGATGTACTACCTTGTGGCTACATGTAACTAACTCTTACAAAATCAAGGTATAGCTTTGTGATAGTTGGCAAAGAAAATTACCAACTTGTAATAGATTTATATACGATTGCTTAAAAGAATCTGCATAATAGTTTTAACAATATCATCTTTAACATTAAATTATGATTTTCAAGTTTTGGATTGAACTCTGGCCTTTTTAAAGAAAGAAACCTAATAAAATGCCATCATGAAAGATTTTTTCTGAAGATATTTTCAATTAAGTGATATACAGATACCACTTACAACATTTTTAGTTTTTTTCTAAATACTCAACTAGAAAACATTATTATAGTAGGATGATGCAAAAAATAACATAAAAGCAACCTAAAATAAACATTATTACAAAGTAAAAACTAAATTCTGCTAGTAAAAAGTAGCCGAATTAACATCGATAAACGTCTTCACTTCCATTAGTACCCAGACATTATTTTTAAAGATATTTTAACTACTTAACGGTAGAGATTTGAAAAACAATATAAGCCACACACACACACAGACACACACACATTTAATGTACCCTAAAGAAAAAAGGGGAAATAACAGTATATCTTCTATCACTGTTTAATGTGATTACGTTTTTCAAAAATAAAGTACTAACAATAATTTGAAAATTCATTTCTTATGGGTGACCGAGGCTATGGTCAAAGGCTACAAAAATGAGTAAGTCTTATTTTAACAAGAATTATTTCACCATTGGGGAATTAAAAATATATCTGCATCAAGCCAAAATACTAGTTAATTGTGACCTTCTTCCCATTCATTCTATCATACATCTATAGCCTCTCATTTGAGATAGAATTTTTTCTTAAAAAATGTATTATCAGTCTAGGCAAGTAGTTCTCAAAATACATCCTAAGATATGCAGAGTCAATATCACCTGGGAACTTGTTAGAAATATAAATTCTCAAGTCCACCCCCAGCCCTTCTGAATGAGAAACATGAGGCTGGAATCCTCCAGGTAATTGTGATGTAGGCCAGAGTTTAAGAACCATTGGTCTAGATGACAAAATACATATTTAACTCCTACTGTTAAAGTTAGAACTGATTTCCATTACAACAGCTCATATGTGGAGTTCTTAAACGCAGAGCCACCCCACAAGGCGATTTCGGTACGCCACTACCAGCCACTCTCAGCCACGATACCAACCTCAGTGGCGGTGGTCTCCCCGTCGGCTGCAGTGTCCGTGCGCTCACTGTCGGTCTGTTGACCACAGAAGGGATCAGGTTCCAGGAGGAAGGCAGGGACAGAAAGTAAACCATCTGGTCAAACACGGTCTGGCACAGGTCGGACAGATCATTTTCTTTCTCTATGATTTCTCTGTGTCATACTACCTTCCCACAAGAACACAAGTTCAAGCAAAGCAACAGAAGGGCCAGAGCTAGGTGTCATCAGCAGAGCCAACTCATAGGAAGATCTGAGGCGCACTCAGCTGCAGGTGCTGGGGAGCCACGCTGACCTGTCCGGTTCTATGTCTCAGGGACACCAATTTGTCTTCCCCACACCCCTCCTCCAACTTTTAACTAAAAACCTCAAGCAAGATCTCCTTAAAATGTTTAATGCAAATAAAATGGATGTTTATATATATTTTATTCTAGTAATATTTCATATCTCAAAGGTAAACGAAAATGTCAATTTACAGAAAAAGCTACTGTAACAGTCACTGGACTTTCAGCCCCTCATTTATACCATTATGATAATTTACATCCATCTAAGGCCTTCAGGCTGTCCGCATTACCTGTCAATTATAAAAGGCACAATGCCAGTGACTCACAGGTATACATATATTTTTTATGGGAAAAAAATAACTCAATTTTCAAGGAGCGTTGCTAACTCGATATTTTTTAAGACTGCATGTTATTTTGCCCCACCCTCCAATATAAAGAAGTATACTGAAGTATGTATTTAAACATCTTGCTCCAAAAATACCATTCAAATGAAGCAAATGATAAGAAGAATTGTTGAAACAATAGACAGAGAGAGAGAAAGAGAGAAACATCTACTTGGAAACAAATAAAACAAAGCACAGCATTTGACAGAGCCTAGGTTTTCAGGAGAATGAGAACAGTAATTTCAGGACTGGTTTTTAATCTGTTTCACAAGAGTTTATGGCTTACGAGCTGTTTTCTCTTGAGTAGAGGAGAGCCATGGACATCTAAATGTCCTAATATTAACTGACTTTCCCTACACAGATATCAAGTAATCATTAATAAAGTTCCCTTCATCAAATATTTGTGATTAATATTTTGAAAACAAAAATCAAAATGGGAGGGGAGTCTACGATGCTGAATCTGCTTCTGAAAATAACCTCCCACTACAAAGAACAAGAAATGTCAAGAAGGGACAACTGGGACAGTGCTGTTTCCACTGACAAAACTAAACTCCGGCTAGGCTGATTTCTTGGCACTAGCTGCATGTTTCATGTTGCATACTCCTAAAAGAAAGGGAGGCTGAACACACACTCAGCACATGTACCTCGGGACACCATTCTGGCACCTTTGCTACCAAGTCGAAGTGGAAAATAATTTTCCGGAGGTTGGTAAGGAAAGCATGTTGACACATTTTCGTGACCTGACCAGCTTGGTTAACAACTGGGGGCAGGAGGTGGCTGTTAAGTTTCTTATAAGGGTGATTGTTGCTATGGGATTAGTATGGCTGTACCGAGTGACAGCCCTGGGAAAGGCCAGTTTGAATTAGTAAGAGAGACCGGTTATTTGTTTAGGTGTACAGAATAACTCAAAGATCTTAGGCTTTCAGGAATAAATAAGAATGACTTGCACTTAGTGTTTTATTTTTTCAGACAGGGTCTCGCTTTGTTACCCAAGCAGGAGTGCACTAGTGCAATCTTGGCTCACTGCAACCTCTGCCTCCTGGGTTCAAGCGATTCTTGTGCCTCAGCCTCCCTAGTAGCTGGGACTATAGGTGCATGCCACCATGCCTGGCTAATTTTTGCACTTTTAGTAGAGACAGGGTTTCACCATGTTGGCCAGGCTGGTCTCAAACTCCTGACCTCAAGTGATCCACCTGCCTTGGCCTCCCAAAGTGTTGGGATTACAGGGGTGAGCCACTGCACGCCCAGCTGGAATGACTTGCATTTAGTGTTCTAATTAGTTGTGTCAAACACTTATAAAACTCTTGAAAGTGTTTCTCCTCCAGTCTAGCTTATTTCCCTTATGGTTTTAAAATTTACTTCAGTAACTTGCAAGCATTTTAGCATCAGGGGGCAGTGGTCGTTAAGAGGGAAAGGTTTAATGTCAGATGAACATGAGCTCAAATCCTTTCTGTTCAAACCTATAGCACATTGGGTACTTTTTATATTTTAGTCCCAGTTTCCTTCCCATAAAATGGGGAAAATAACAGCCCTAACTGTATTGGATAATGGATAGTAAATGCTTTATATAATGCCTGACACACCCAGAGCTAAAAAAATGCCTATAATAATTATATTATATAGTTATTCCTATTTTTCTTAGCCATATACAAATAGCATAGTCCATATACAAAATTTCTTGAATTCCTACTTAGCATCTAGTCAGTCCGTAGTATAGTGCCTGATCAATAGTAAATAAATGAATAAGGCTGAATAAAGCACTTTTTATATCAACTGGTATTTCTATAATGTATGATGCCTACATAAAACTGCAAATGCATAGCATATCGTAAACTATTATATAATACTACGTTTATGTAATTTAAAATGTTATAAATCAGTTAATCAATTTTTCTTCCTCTTGATTTGAACTCATCTCTATTTTTCTTTGTATTATCAAAAAATTACTCAGAAATACACATGTAATAGCATTTTATGGTTTGGGGAGGTAAGTTCATCTCATGTTTCTTGATAGGATATTTTGATATCCTGCCCCTTCTTATTTGACCATTCTGAAAGTACAAAAGAAAAATCATGACTGGTCAATAGCTTTATAATGTGAAATGATGAAGCCTTTTTATACTAGATTTCACTCTTGAGAAAGGCTGGAAATAAGCCACTATAACATGTTAAAAATGTAAGCAATGATGATACAATATTTAAAAAGAATTAATTGCTAGTGACTTGGCAAAACGAAAGTGACAAGGCTGAATTGTATGTTAAGAAGTCACCCAGTGTAGCTGCCACAGTGCTTGAGGCCTAGAGATGAAATCAGGCCATGTAAGCAAATGGCAATTTAAATAAAACAATCCAGGATGACCTCAATATGAGTTCTCTAGCTCAGCCTGAACTAGAATGCACAGCTCTTAACACTTCAAGAGACAACACTGAACAGATGGCTAGTTACAGAGTCTGATGGCAGGAGAGCTATCATATGGGCTGACTAGGGCTGCGGAGAAGGGTGATGAAGACTCCAGTGGTCAGTGCTAATTCATGGTTTCGGAGGTTTGCGATAACAAGGACAGTTATGACCGGGAAGCTCCAATCACATGTTCACTAGCTTGTAACAAGTAACTGCTGTGATTTGTTTTGCCAATGTAATGCAGACATGCCCAAGTTTAACATTAATTCTCATGCACTGATTACAACAAGATGTATACCCTGGATTAGGCACAATATCTGTGTGGTTTGCTATACAAAAGTTCAAACATTTATTTTGAATTTAGAAAAGCATAAAACAGCAATCTTTTTTGCCTTATGTTAGCTTGATGACTAACTCCACTGTTAAAGGAAAAATATATCTCCATGTTAGAAATCAGCTAATAAATAATAAAATTGTCTTTGTAGACAATATTGTGTTCTTAACTGTAATATGTTCTAGTCCAACACTATTTGATAATATTACCAATATGAGAAATAGTGATATTAAAGCCTAGGATTTCAAGTAGTTCTCAAAATATTTTCCATGTGTAAAAAGTTATTTATATATCAGTTGGAGCAAATCGTTATATATAACTCAAGAACCTTGAAAATGTCTCTTATGCAAAAGCTATTAAGTGTAGACTTTTACTTAAAACACCTGTGAGACCATTCACATTTTTTTTCCTTCCGCTGCACAGAAATGGTCATAATTCCACTAACTAGAGATACTCGCACACCCTCAACATATAATACTACATACTCACAGGTGCGGCTCAAATTATGACTTTCTAGCTGAGCACAGAATCAGACTTTCTTTCCTTTTTTAGCATTGCCTTGACTTTGTGACTTCTGAAAAAAGTGGTAAGGTATTTTCCTTTTCTCCTGTCACAACAGCTCTTGTTCTGTGGGAACAGGAGGGCTGCAGGGAGCCTGCGGAGAGGTGTGGGCAGGGCCGTGCATGAGAGCAACCGGGGCTTCTGGTGGCAGCTTCTATTATTCTTCCCCGCACTCTGTTTGAAGCCTGGAGAAAGAGAAACTGCTGGGCTGTTCACAGGGCTGTGGGGCGGTGGGAAAGGAGAGCAATTAACAGGAAAAACTACTGGCTACCATGCCAGCTTGTCCAATTGCTCCAGTGGGGGACAGGAGCCTGCCCTGCAGCAGCATGCCTTCAAGGACGGAGGCTGATAGTTCAGGGTCTTTCCCCCACTATGTCCATGTCCGGCTGGCAGCCACAGAGGCCCAGCCTTACCACACTGTGAAAACGGGGGGATTTTGAGGCTCATACTGCAGTTGAAAGAATCGCTGTCATATTATCTGCATTGGCATGGCTAGCACTGGTGAAATTTCAGCCTGTCTTTGCATTGTTTGAAAACGTCAATTTAGTCCTTTTCTGATTGTGTTTGAACACTGCTGCACTGTATGCCGTTGCTTCTGGGCCTGTTTCTGCCCTTACCAATGGCTGATGTCATGTGGGTGCTTTCAACTGCTCTGACACAACACAATGCGGGATCTGACTGACAGACCTGTCTGTGAGTAACAGTGACTGTCCGGCGATGATGAGCAGAGGGCGGTGGGGACATTTCAGGATCTTCAGGGAGGAGATACCTTTGCAATTTTAGAAAGCTACCTAGGTGACAATGATACATCCCCTCTGGGGATGCGTTCTTCCACCTCTCCTTGACTATCATTTGAGTTGAAACAACTCATCATCGGTCTTATATGTGATTTACCTCACTAAACAATAACTGATCAGAACTTTCAGCTTAGCCCTGATCTTTTACATGGCTAATGGGTTACATAAAATTGACTTCTGGCTGAGTCTTTCATCCCACGTAGAACTCAGTGGGTAGCAGAACGATTCCGGGTTGGGCTCAGACTGCTACATCCACATGGTGTTGTGCCTAACCCTGGGGCCCAGGTTGGACTCCCCAACACACAGAAACCTCAACATATTGGCACAGACAATAAATGAGGCTCTGAAAGTAGGACCACTATGGCAGCAGCCGGCTAACACTGTTTCGGACTCAAGCACGGAACACGAAGGGGAAGCGTGTTCTATGCCGAGGTACACACCTCTTCCTCTGAACTGTCACTCGGGTCATTGTCTAGGGAGGCGCTCAAGGAGGCCGCCTTGGGCTCCAGGTAGCAGAGGCACAGAGCCAGAGGGAAGGAGAGAGTGAGAGCGTATGGCACTGAGAAGGAGGCAGACAGCAGAAAGAAAAAGATGAAGAGGAAACAGGGCACGAGGGACGGTGAGCGGATCGGGAGGTAATGCTGCAAGCTCTGGGGCAGGAGGTTGGTTTCAGAAAGGTTGGGGAAAGAGAGGTACCCATCATCATCTAGGAGGGAGGGGAATGACTCGGGGAGCTGCAAGGAGAAGGAGAACAGGGTGGTCCCCTTGCCAGTTTGCTGTCTGTAGCTAAAAGCCACATCTTGATCCCCTAGGTAAGGCCTCCCTGGGCCATCAGAGTCCAAGGCGGGCTCTCCAGGCATGTGCTCAGCTCTGGATGGCTCGTAACCTGGCAGTTTGCAGTCATTCTCCTTACACCTCCTACGGAGCTCTGTGGGAGATGTGGGGGCACAATGGGCGGATGGGGGTGACAAGGGACATGAGTCAGTGCCAAGCCCAGGTGACTGATGTGAAAGAGACAGAGAGAGACAGAAAGCAGCAAACAGAGGTGCAAAAGGACAAAAAGAAAACTGCAATTAGTTAATTTTCTTATGGGTATCAATATAAAATTGTAAAACAAAAATTTTAGCACTAGGGTTGCTCATGAATGTTAAAAGTATTCAAGCTGCATGCCAATGTTGCCACAAATGGCTACATTTCTCCCATTAGACCATTATATACAGGTGGAATTCTTTAAAAACTCAGAACAGAAGGTATTTGTGGGCAATCCCAAAGTCTACACATTTCACATGATCAAAAAATTTCATTTTAGACCAACACTCTAGAAAGTTTCAGGTTTTGGGGAACAAACATAAGTAAATCTGATAACTTAAAATCAAGACTTTCAATAACCTTCTTCTGATTTTCAGGTAGCAGAGCTGTTACTATACTTCAGCTAGATTAAAAATAAAGATGAAATCCAATCCAGATTTTGATTTAAAAAAAAATCTCTAACATTAGTCCTTTCCTTGGTTATTCAGTTACATCCGAAACAGAGAGTTTACGTTCTAAATCAAGAAGTTTCTGGCCCCACTCCTATCTGATAGGTAGTTACAATCAGGGATTCGACACTTAGCACTTCTGAATATCTCACTCCTCAAAAAGAATTAAAGTTCCCTTGAAAACTCCATTTTGGCTCCTTTACTTAGGACATTAGTGGAACTTCAACTCAAGTGATTTCAACAAGCTAACTAGAAACAACAATGTGTTTTCTTGTAACACGCTTCGCCAGTATTTACTTTCTATTATTTATGATGCATAATAACAGAAAGATATAATTTCCCAGCCTTCTGATTTTTCTTAGCAGATAAAGGGCATGTTTAGATCTTTGGTTTGAGGCCTTAATATAATAACAGCAGGGTTTTCCACAAGTGCTCCCCTGGTGAGCGCAAACTTTAATGGGGTAGGTGAATCTACTTCCCCTCTCTCTGGGTCCTGGAAGTCTCCACCACCAGTGCCAGTTTCCTCTGCAGGTGGTGGAGGGGTTGCTGGACAAGAAGGGGAGGAAGGAAAGCACACAAGTCCCAAGCAGGGCGGTACCTTCCTGTACCTGCCCCAAGCCCCTGGGCAGGTACCGGAGCTGCTGCAGGCCGGGAAGTCCAAGTTTGAAGGTAATGAGACTCCTGCTGATGTCTGTGTCACTGCATGTGTGTATGTGTGTGTTTTGTCCAGTGGCCTGACAGCATGGAAATTACCCAGCCTGCCTTGTGTGGTTATCCAATCCTGACTTGGGGAGAAGTGGTAAATATAGCGACAGAAAGAAAATGCACAAATAAAGTTACATCTGAGGCATGAGGGAAAGAAAATGCACAAATAAAATCATAGCCCTTCGGCATTGGAAGGGTCTCTTTCTACTATGAGACAAGTATGTCTTTTCCCACACACTCGTATTTGACATTGAAGACGGCACTTTAAACAGGAACCTGCACAAATCTCATTCAACTAAAATAATGTAGGTGCTACACTCTAACTTCTGCATGAAGACAACTGTCCTCCAGCATGGAGGTGAGGCGGCCCCATGATCTGGGGGATCCCAGCCTGGGAAACGTGCCTCCTTGCCAGGCAACCTAGTGGACCAGCCTTTCAAGAACTATTTTCAGTAATACACTTTCATTTTGGTTGAAAAATAAGTACCCTCTCGGTTACTTTTTGAAGATGGAGTAAGATAAAATTAAGGTTTATTTTACCTTCCATGCTGATTAATGAAGTCATTTCTAAGACAGCTTTGCACTGGGGAAACCAAGCCAGCCCACACCTATCCAAGCACCAGATTTCAGCTACAGGCTTCCTGAAGATGTTCTGCCCACAGCGCTGGCTTCTCAGAGACTCAGGCTATGAGGCTGGCAGTGTCCTTTGTCTTTTTATTTTCCCACATCACAAGTGGCACCCAGTGAGGACAGCTTAGTGCTATGATTTACATAAACAAACTTGTGGTCTTCTAAAATCAAATAAAGCAAAAATGTCTGGCCTTATCTTGGGAGCAAAACTAAAAATCATTTACATTGATGTGTCACTTCTTCATACTTATACATCCACGGGAATCTTATGTTGGCATGGCGATTTTGCAAAATGTTAGAATAAGAAGAAGAACCATGTATTGGTTTTTTTGGGTGGATTACCTTCTTTTCTGTCCCCTTTAAAGCCTTCCTTGACTGAACAGACAGGAAGAGTGTAAAAACAAAATTTAGAACAAAGCACATTTTAACAGCAAAAGTTATTGAAAGAGCCCTGCCATTATTTCCTACTCTGTGCCTAATTTTGTGTTTGCCAAATAAATGATCTTATCCTAAAAAATAAAAGATGATGGATTGGGTCATTTGTAATATTTTAATATAACTACAAAAATTATTTGTCTATGTTAAGATGTCGCTGCTAAATTCTTGCCAAAAGGAACACTTTCCATAGAATCCGGGGTAGTGATTCTCCATCTCTATTTGAAGAGCCCATGTACAAAAGAGCACTCATGAATCAAATTTACTCAAATTTTAGGATAACCCATGGGTTATTACGAGCATTTTCATTCTGCTATTTCCTCTTACTCTATGCTCTGTACAGGCCAGGAGGCACTCTGTTTTTCCATTATTATTAGGTATAAACCTCCTGAAGTGTATTTTGACTTTTAAAGTATTTTTCTGAAAAGTTGCTTTGTAGTGCTGATCACCAGAAAAAAACATAGTGTTTAAAAATTATGTTAAAAAAGATACCTAATTTGGGGTGAAACGATGTCACAAAGTTGAATGAATTAAACACCGAAAGAAGAAACTGCTGCCAAACTCACTTTTTACCTTCTATTGCAACCTTCTGCCTTAACATCCCTTTTCAAAACACGGCCAGTCACTACTCTGCTGATTAGATTGTAAGTAAAAACACACAGGCTATGGTCACTCCATGTATTTATAGCCAGAAGAATGGTAATATGATAATTGCATATCTAGAAAAATATGCTGTACTTAGGTAGGAGAGTGGGGCCAGAAACAAAGAAAACAGCTTTAGTGACAGTTCTGAAATGTGAGCCCAAACAGAAAAGTGTAATACGCCACCAAAAGTATTTTTAAGATACACATACAGGACAGCTATTGAAAGTCTTACATAGCACACAAGTTATTAAAATACAAATTTTCAAAGAGCTATGAACGAATCTTTCAGAGGAAAAATGTTGAAACAGGAATCATAATCTAAAAATTGTCATATGAATGTGACCAGTGCTGACATGATTTACCCTAAATCTCAGCACATTCCTGGTTTCCAGCCTCAGCATCATTTAGTCATTCTTAAAAGCTGCAGCAAGCTCTAGCAGGCAGTCTGGGAGCTATACCTTTCCCTCGTGCCGGATGGCCGAGACAGGGGTGACTTCTTCCCCCTTCCTCCGTTTGTCCTCTTCCTCGTCCCGCTCCTCCTCGGCCTTCTTCTCCGGAGTCACAGTGGTGATCAAGTTGGTCTGAGAGATGCCTTTTGTTGTGGCGTACTGGCCAGTACCAACCTCTGCAGCAGACACAGAATCCTTCATGTATATTTCATGGTTTTCATTCACTGATGCTAAAAGCAAATACAATTGAAGAAATAAAATCCAAAATAGTTAGGTCAGAAGACAGATGAACAACACCAATTATATCTTTACTGAAAAAAAAGAATACCATCACAAAATACCAGGTTTGTCTTGAGAAAACAAATCAGTGTTGCAGGGACCTTCCTGTAAGCACGAGCTTCCTGTATTTCCCATACCAGCGCTTTAACATTCTTGAAATGCTCATGTCTTGGAATGTCCTCTCTCCTCAGGCTCTCTGGTGAGGATGTGTGTAAGAGTGGACGTGAGTGGAGGGCCACGAGGCGAGGCTGCCGCTGGGCCTGTTATCACTCAGAGTCACCGGCTGGCACTGGCACCAGTCTCGTAGTGGCCAATTCCACATCTAACGGCAGTCTTTACAGTACACAATTGCTCTAACACACTTGGCTCTTTGGAAGTGCCATTCACCAAGAAGCACTGAACTGGTTTTCTTCTTATTATTAATGTTGAAAAGTCTGTCACTCTTACAATATAAAAGCTCCACGGGTAATAACAAAAATTAACCATTTGGTGGAGATTATAAAATACAGATGGCAATTCTATTTGTCTAAAGCACAGAAATGTTTTCATTTCTACTGCATTTTAAATGGGCTACCATAATATGCATATACATTTACTCATCTCTAATATTTTGGGAAAACACAATGAATGTTGCTAAATGAAATTCATGCAAATACAAAACATGCAAACGCAAGAGAATAAGACATAGCCTTTCATCCCAGCTAAAACGTCTTAGTGAAAAGATGCTTAATTGAGTTAAATCTTAAAATTTGGTACTCATTATTTTAGGTTTCAGATATAAAATTTATTAAAACCTATAAATGTGGCTTTTCAAATACACAGTAACTAATCACAGACAAAATATAATCTACATTATTATGTTAGGAATTTAAAAATGTAAATAAAAGGATTCTGAAATGAAATCCTCTCTGAAATCCTTTTGATAGCTAAACTATGTCACTAAAAATATCTTCACTAAGACATTTTATATCTCTTTATACTATTGAAAAAGCTCATATGAGACAAAGCTTCCTAATAGACCAGTTAGGCCACCCTCTGTAAGATGCAACCTTGCAAAAAAGCGGTTGATGTTGCAACATGCAGCTGTGCCACCCAGCTCAACAGCAGCAGAAAACACACTAGAGCTGGCAGGACTGAGAAGAGTGAGAGACAGCACATACTAACATCACTTTTGGGCAGGGAGAAAGAGACAGCATGACGTTAGTACACTGATTTCACAACTGTCTTCTGTCTTCTCAGCAGTCATTATCACACTAAAGGTCATAAGGAAAACAATATTCACAACAAATGTGTTCCCTGGGGTGCACACCACTGAACAAAGTGGATATTCAGGAAAAAAAAGTGCGATTCTACAAAGTTCCTCAAATACTAATAACATACAGAAATAGGTAATAGAGACAACCTAAAGGAGAAAGAAGAGTCAATAGGATAAACCAAAAAGAAAAGCTTCAATGTTAACATGGATATTTCAATATCTTAATTCAGCTAGAAACAGTCCTGATAACTATTTTATTCAAAAGGGCTGGCTCTAAGTTTGGTATTCCGGAAACTCTTAGAAAACACACAACGGTAATGAACTTCCTAGGCTAGCTCACAAAAGCCTGTAGAAATACTTATCGATATAAAATGTGGTATATATGTACACCATGGAATACTACTCAGTCATAAACATGAATGAAATCATGTATTTTGCAGTGACTTGGATGGAGCTGAAGGTCATTATTCTACCTGAAGTAACTGAGGAATGAAAAACCAAATACCATACGTTCTCATGTATAAGTGGCAGCTAAGCTATGGGTATGCAAAGGCATGTAGAGTAATACAACGGACACTGGAGACTCAGAAGGCAGACAGTGGTGGGCGGAGGGTGAGGGATAAAAAACTACATATTGGGTACAATGTGCACTACTCAGGTGACAGGTGCACTAAAAGCTCAGACTTCACTACTATACAATTCATCCACGTAGCCAAAAACCGATTGTTTGTATACCAAAAGCTACTGAAATTTTTTAAAAAATGTGAAAAAGAGTAATTATCAATATGATGACTGAGATAATTGCCTGTGTAACAAGAGTGCTTTCATATATATCTTGCTTTTCACAACGGCCCCATCAAAGTCTGAATATAATATTCCTATTATAACAGATGACTACAACAGACCTGAAGAACTGAAATCATTTGTCAACCACCGCGGAGACAGAGGGCAGCAGAGCCTGGACTTCAGTCTGGATTTACCGATGTCACATGAGTACAGTTCCCACCTCATTAGTAACATACATAATACAGCACTAATGCTGCCATTTTGATTTCTTCTGTAAACTGTTCACAAAGTATTCCATTAGAAAAAGACAGTTGTTTTCAGTTGGGAGATTCGGGGAGCACCTCTCCCCATCAATCACCCAGCTGGTGAAATGGGGAAGGCAGAGCTGAAACTCTCAGGGGAACAGTGGCAAAAAAGGTAGGGAAGGAGATGGTCTCAGGCACTTGTAACTTTTGTTTATTTTTATTTATGTTTTTCCTTATTATTTAAACCATGACCTGCATACCAGAAACTCCTAATTCTTTTTACTTGGCCAGGATAAGATCTTCTATTAAAAACAAACCTCCAGGTGCTCCAAATTAGAAGACAGAGACCCAGACATGATTCAGTTCCAGAGCATTGTTAAGCAGGCGTGCCTTGCAGCAGAAAGCACACCTCCATGTTACTCCAGAGAGCAATCACGAAACTGTTCGATAAAACAAAACCCTACTAAAAATTCACTGTTGTGTTATCCCCTAAAAAGGTTATTTGAGTGATCATCTCTCCATTGGACTAATTTGACTTGGCAGTACAGAACCCCTACACAGCCTGTTCTCCCAGTCCATCTGGGGTAGTAATTAGCACAACTCGGAGAAATTAACTTACAGCCCTTTGCTCCGTTATTTGCATGTCATCCTTTCTACCAGCTATTATCAACTAACTGATAAAGGCCACACTTCATTCATGAAGATTTTTTAGAAACAGAAATAAATGTAACTTACAGATTTATAAAACAAATAGTCTTAAACCTACCAAACCTTTAAGACTTGTTGGCAAGAGAATCAAATCACAGAGTATGTGACTACTATATTTAGAATGAGAGCATCTTTCTCCAAATTCGGGGTGTCAGTTTAAGAAAGCTATTTTCTTCATTCCCTGATGCCATTCTTTCATGTAATTTTACATAAACCTGCAGATGTTAGACTGACAAAGGGACTTTCATTTCACTGGGGGAGACTTAAAAATGTGCCATTCAGTCAATGAGCAACAAATGCTTTTCAACGTACAATATCCAGGAATATCTATGCTTACTGAAAGCTCATGACGGTTTCATACTCTTTTTGGGGTAGGTACTAGGTTACTAAGGGCCAGTAAGTGACGCCTACCTCCATCCAAGCTGCGAGACATGGTATAACGTTTGCTGGAGGAGCGTTCAAAGTAAGGTGCTGGGCGATCTATCAACGCACTGGCTCTTCTCGTTTGCGCTTGTGTCCTGCCACTGTAACGAAACTTGGAACCCAAGGTTAAGAATTTCTTGGGAGGTGCTTCTGGTAACAACAGTCTAAAGAGAATAAAGAAAAACAGCAGAAAGACTATTAAGTACAATATTGAGAGTGCTTTTTAAACTTTTTACTCTGAGAGGTCGTGTGTGTTGCGTGCTAAACGTTTAACACACAAATTGCAGTTAAATAAATCTGATTTCATAAAAAAATGCACATAGTATATATCAACTAGGGATGTTGTAGAGAGGAGATATGCAAATGAGGGTTGTACTGAACTAGATGAACTTTTAACATTCCATGCAAAGTAGACAGTCTACGGTTCTATAAGCCCAAACAGCAACTAAATAGATTGATATTAGTTAAGAAGAAGAGTGATAATTTGTTGTTGGGTGCCTAATTTGATGGGTCTCATACCATGCATAGGTAGGTAAAGGGATTCAGGGATTAAGAAATCACTGAAATAGTAAGGAATTGAAATAGTAAGGAATAGATTGGATATTTGAAGTGGACACCTTAAAAATAATGTAAAGACACTAAATATACTAAAGAAGAGGAGGTTGGGACACGTAAGTACATGACAAATTACGGAAAATCCTTCAAATTTACTCTTTTCCTAGTTCTTTTAGGATTTCTTATCAAGAAATATGGTGACAATGAACTTGAAGGAATAGAAATAATAAAATTCCGTATTTTTCTTATTGACAATCTTTTTCAGTATCAGTGATGATAATTATTCCTTAGAGAAAAAACAAAATAATCTCTTCCTACCTGAAAAATGTATGATGCTCAACACATACTTTCCATAAACGCTTGGCAGCTCGATGGTTTGGCAGCTTAAACCCAATGGTGCTTTCAAATTGTTCAAACTAAATAAAAAAAAAATACATTGAAGAGTAAAGTTTAAAATTATAAATAACAGAAGCCCTGTAAATAATTTATAAAATCATACTGCCACCAGAATTTAAAAAATTTACTTATTAGATCAATTGCTACATGCATAATTCATGCTATACACATTCATTTGTTAATTTCGAAAATGTATCTTTAAAATGCTGCAGGTACAAGTAGCCACATTATGCATACAGTAAAATGTCTTCTGAATAAGTGTGTATCTTATGATACTACTGAAAACTAAATACAAAAGGGTTTTTTTTAAATTTATTCCAGAAATCAATTTGTCCTGATACCACTTTTAAATTTTATTTTCATGGTTTCTCAATGACACAATGACTTCAACTGCAAGGTACAGAAATGAACCAAATGTTTACAGATATAGTCTACAGCATTCTTAGAAATGACATTTTTCTCCTAATATCTGGTCAGGAAATATGTATATTTCTTAGGTAGTTGATAACTTGGTGTCGAGACTGCCGATTTTATTTGTGTGTTCCACTATGGATTATCGTGTTAAATGCTAACGTCTCTCTATATCATACGTAAGATCAGAGATTGGGGGAACATATTTTCATATCTTTTAGCATGTACATTTCAGATGATGCTTTATCAGCCATTTGATTTTTCGAGGTGAAATACTCATCTCATTTCCTGCATAATATACTTTATTACTGCAGATGCACAGGTTTTCACATTGTGAAGAAAGTACACATCAGACCACCAGAGGGCAATCATCTTAAACAGTAAAGGCTTCCCCAAACAGCAAACAACCAGTGCTACTGCTATAATCAATAGCAAAAATAATTTATGTGGCAAAGAACCGAGGTGAGGGGTCATATGCATGGCATGTGAGATACAATCATGTTTGACCTCTATTTCTTGCTTGCTGAGGATGATTAGGGGAAGTGGGAAATACATCACAATTGCTTCAACCGCAATTGCCTTTCCCAACTTCTTATTCACTCTGGATGTTCACGCGCTGTGGTGTTTGTAAAAATCACTGCTGTCCAAGGGACCCAGTCAAGACAGATACAGTGTAGCTGTGACTAAACCATCATCCATTTATTCATCCTGCAACTAATATGCACATACTATGCCAATGCCGGGGTTATATGGAAGAGTCAGCTTGCACTCTGCCGCAAGAAGCTGGGAAGAGTCTCTGCCAACCTCTGTAGGCAAGGAGGATGCAGGCTCCTAGACTACCTGAATAGGTATTAGTAGTTTATTAGTATCTATTTCTCTGTGTTTTATATCAATTTCTTTCAACTTCTTCAGACCCTGTGTGTTCCCAATAATTTCTTCTCACTCCTCTCAGGCTGTAAATAAGATTGTAAAAACAGAGAGAAGAGGAGTGAAACAACAGCTTTTTCTGAGCCTGTTTCTGCCAGCACCACAACCCCATCTCGCGCCTCACTGCTAAACTTCAGGAAGCAGAAGCCACTACCTGCTGCCTCTGCTCCTCACTCCTGACCTCAACACGCCCTGGCAGGTGCTCCCCACACCTTTCTGAACTCTGAAATGTCATCATGGGGCCTGACTGTCAAATTCAACATGCTTTTGTTAGTCCACACCCTGCGTGCCCCTTCTGTAACATATGGTACTACTAGCTAACCACTTTCCTCTGAAACTCATCTCCTGGTCATCCAGCAGCCTATGTTTCTTCTTTTATCTCTCTGGCTGTCATTTCTTCATCTCCTTGACCCTTTCTCAAATAGTAGTATTATCCAGAGTTCTAGTTTTAGGGCCTTTTCTTTCTCTAACTTGTCTTGCTCGTTGAGTAATTTATTCCATGTCTAAGGCCTTGAATAAAATATATAGTTGACAACTCTATTCAACTCCTTCTTATGCAAGAATTACACCCTGAAAATCTGTTCCAAAGGGATCTCAATTGTTTTTCTGTAAATTTCCCCCTTTTCCCTCCTGCCTAATGTCATCTCCATTGGCTTCAATCATGCAAACTGAAAACCTCTGATTACCTTGGACTCTTCCCTCTTTTAATTCCTTCCTCCATCCTGTCTCTAAGATCTGCTGCTTCTGCCTCTCAAACCTCTCTCTTGAATTTGTTCCCTCCAGTCTATTCCCAGAGCCTCTGCCCTAGTTTAGGTCTTATCACATCATATTTCTAAGTAGTTGAATTTCATTAAGAAATCTATCATTCCAAAATATTCACCTAGTTGTGTCACATCCTGATTTAAAACCTCCCATGACTCACTAGTGTCTGCTGATTCATTTCTCCAGCTCTCCCCTCTGGCCTCTTACAATACTACGCTCACCCCATGCCTACAGAATATCATCTCATTTGCATCATGCTGTTCCAATCAAAGTATATGAATCCGTTTTCCTGCTAAACAGAAAAGTCCTTAATAAGGAACAAGGTCATATTTGTCTTTCTATTTCTAATACCTGACAATAAATAGGTGCTCACTTAACAAATGTTCAATGAAGTCAAATGACTATCTATTGGCTATAAGTTAAACACATAATCTTTAGGAAATATTTTTAAAACACTATAATTTTAAGTATTTACATGAAAAGCTTACAGATTATTTCAGTCATCATAGATGGGTATGATGTTATACTCATATTAAACATCATTACATGCTTTATATTTCAATTTTTTGTTGTTTTTGAGACAGGGTCTTCGCTCAGTCACCCAGGCTGGGGTACAGTGGTACAATCATGCTCACTGCAGTCTTAAACCCTTGGGCCCAGGTGATTCTCCCACCCTTGGCCTCCCAAAGGGCTGGGATTACAGGCATGAGCCACCATGCCCAGCCGATATTCTGATTTTAAAAATTGCATTTTCCATCAAGAAACTCCAGTGGAGAAATAGATTTTGAAGATAAGAGGTAACTCTATATTATATCAGAAAACATTCAGAGATATAAGTATGCTAGAATCTTTGAGCTTTGACTGCCTCAATTATACTAACCACACCAATTAGAAATTCAAGGTATTTATTAACTATCTGTTAAGTAAATAAGAGAAGATATGTGTTACTATTATGTACAAACCACTAAGCAAGATATAAACATAAGTTGATCATGGAGGCTGTTGTCCAAGGAGTAAGGACTAGTTAACAATTTTCATTCTCTCATTAGCTTCTTTGACTTATAAAAACAACAAGCATATATTGAGCTATAGAACGTTGACATAATTCACACTCACTGTCCTTTGTTCTAATATTCCTTGTACCTTGAAGTACATGACCTCTAAGCTTTTCACTTTAAAGTACAACCCGATTTGTAGGACAAGTAGAAAGAGCATGAAGAAATAACAACAGGATGTGGAGGAAGAGATTTATCCATTACTATTTGAAATATACACAAAATTATTCATGAAACTGGATTTTATATTAAAATATATTTTTTAAAGCCCTTCAATTAATGTATGCAGTAGGAAATATTGGAACAATATAAAAAGGGAGAGACTACTTTATTTATTACTGTTTATTGGGCAAATCTACAATAAATTTTCTCAGGCACTTAGATGTCATTCACTGTGTCCCACAATGCTCAGAACTCACAAGCAGATAATTTAAATGTTTGCTTGCTATCAGGGATTTTCCTCCTAACGCACATGCAAATGTGGGTATACTTACCTCTCCTGGCCGGATCTTAATGTAAAAGTTGTTCCGTTTGTATGAAATCTTTAGAACCTTGGGCCAGGCAAATCTGTTTATTCGCAGCCGGTCGCGATATATCAACAGACCACTTGCACAAACTCCTAACATAATTTCTACCCCTTCTGAGTCCTGGAAAAAACAGCAAGAAACAACAGATCAGTATCTAACTTATTTCCATTTTCTGCTGGGTATAATATTTAAGCATCCACAACAGAAATATAAATGGCTGGTTTACATATGCAAACTGATGCAGCCATTTTTAAAACATTACTATTAAACACTAGCCTTTTGGTGAAGATGTTCATCACTATGGAGAGGTTTGTTAGAGTAAAATCTGCTCTCCCAGGTGTCTCAGACTTGTAAAGTAAATACTGCACACCAAGAGGGCCCAGCCCATGAAGGTATGTTAATAACAGTCGTAATAGTAGCCATAGTTCTCACTTGTCAATTGCCAGGCACTGCTCTGCTTTACATATATTCCTTTAATCTTCACTGCGATTGAAATGGTTGCTATTATTATTCCCATTTTACAGATGAGAAAATAGGTACAGAGTCCCAGTTGAACACAGCCTGGTTCCAGAGGCGGCACCCTTAACCAACAAATATGCCAACAAGATGGACCCTGACTTTTCCTATGAGGGTTTTGGTTGCTGTTCCTTTAAAAAGAGCCCAAATATTTTTTATATACCATTATTGTCAGAGTAAAATTTAAATATGAAATAGGTTTTTTTTAAGTATGAATGAATAAAAAAATATAAGAATGTATTTTCCCCAACAACCACCATTCCCTCCACATAAACACACTGCCCAGTGGTAATCACACTTAGCAATATGGCTCACATATATAAATAATAAATATTTTTTAAATATGTGTATAGTTTTTTTAAGAAACAAATGTGAGATCATACTAGAACTGCAACTTCCTTTTGCTACTTGTACATTTCATGTTCAGGTGATTTCCTAGGGATGTGTGATGTCCAGCGGTCATTACAGATGTTGTGTCAAGCTTAGGAGATATACCACATACAGTCTTTCCCAATGTTGTATTCCATTTAAGTCAGGGTAAAATGAACATCTGTGGTGGCCATGAATGAAGGAAAAAGATAGGATGCAGGCAGGATTATATGTGAGGTCAGAGTCCATCCCTGGTCCCACTGATTGTTGGAATCAGGGGACAGAAAGGGTCATGAGCTGACCACCCATCAGAAGCGATGCCCAGATCTGCTGTCAATGCAAGGCAGAAGATGGAAATTTCCAGAATCAGAAATACTTATACTGGTCCATCTCTGGGAAATGTAAGTTTGCCAACAAAGCATAATTGGTTTAAAATGAAATATTTTACTTTGGAAACGTATCATTCCATGACATACTGAATTACTCTGCAGGAGTGGAAATATTTGATGGCAGGATATTACAATATAATAAAATTTGAGGAGAACTCAAAGACCGGAAACTGCCCACCATTTATCTAGGACTTTAATTTGAAAGAGTGATTTAAAGAGCTATAACCTGATGCTGACACGCAGCTGGTATTACTGATCCTTTAGAACCAGTCAATCTGTCTGCACCATCACTCAGAGGTGACCACCTTACTCCATTGGCAGAGTGCAGGAATGAGGAAGGACTGCCAGAATCACTTCTCTTTGACTCACTTTCTTTTTGGTAACTATAGAACAGGACTTTAGGAAGTGTACCTTCAACCTACCAAGGGAAAGGACATTTGAAACCTTTTCCATTATTAGGTAACAATAAAACTTTTAATAAAAACCTTAATCACCTGTTACTTCTTTGAATTTTAAGAAAACAGTAGCTCCCTTCTTGAGGAAGATGAAGAAGGCTCTGATGCTTCCTCTTCCTGTCTCCTCCAAAAAACATCTGTGTCCCAAAATCAATCTGTTATCTCTAGTATACCCTTAGCAAAAGGCAATGAAATAAACTATCACTTGTCTTCCTTATCCTGGAGACAAAAGCTGGTTGAGAGCAGCAGCTCTGTTTATCTTTGTAATCTCACGGCCAGCGCACTGCCTACCTTGCATGCACGAAGCCATTACATGTTTGTTGAAAGAAAAGTGAATGAAAAATGAAAATGACAGAAATGAGTGCAGTTTTTAATTGGATGCAAGTCTCGATTTCATTAATTGCATGGCAAGAAAAATGATACTTTTCATCTCAAATTTTCTGCCACAGGCCACAGTACTGAGGTTAGTTTGAGAAATCTTTTTTTTTTTTTTTCTTTTTTTTTGAGAGGGTCTACCTCTGTTGCCCAGGATGGAGCGCAGTGGTGCCATCTTGGCTTACTGCACCCTCCACCTCTAGGGGCTCAAGCAATTCTCGTCCCTCAGCCTCCTGAGTAGCTGGAACCACAGGCAGGTGCCACCGCACTCGACTCATTTTTCTGTTTTTGTAGAGATGGGGTTGTGCTACATTTATTCAATCGGGTCTCGAACTCCTCACCTCAAGCAACCCGCCCGTCTCAGAGTGCTAGGATTACAGGTGTGAGCTACCTTGCTGGGCCTGAGAAATCTTTGGTTTTAAAAGTCATGACAACAGTATTTGTTGAGGACATGTGCATTTCACTGTCAATAAATACATGTGCACTCCCTTTAGCAAGGAGCACTGGGGTGGACCTGAATAGTCTCAGTCATCATGAAAATAAAGGGGCATACGATTTCTTTAATTCGACATCAGTGTTCAAACTTTGCCATCCTTCAGCATCTACTGCTCTGCGGGATATCCTGTATGGACTTATATCTACATTTCAGAATCTTACATAAAATAAATGACTCTGACAAAGCCCATCAAGATGCACATTAAATGACAAACAAGCAGAGTCAGATGTACAGAAAAAACAAAACATTTAGAATAGGTTTTCCAAAACATAGGACCTTTGTGTAATATGCGTGTTTATTCTTCATACAGGATTCCAGCTCAGAAGTTTTAAATGGATTGTAACGCTCAGGGTCTTTCATACCATCAACAGAAGCAAGGCATCTCGCTCATAACCGGAAATTAGCTCCAATTTGTTTCAGTAAATTTCCTTCTTCAAATGATGGAGTGTGGTGGCATGGGAAAATTGAATCTATAACTGAATTATCTGTTATACTTAATATTCAGAAAAATTTCTATAACGCTACATTTGTACTTCCTTAATTTTCTTTTTAACTGGCATAATTTCAAATCACATTATTAAATGAAAAAGGCAGCCATCTATTTTAATTCTGTAGCGATAGCAATGTTAAGTGATTTTATATTTACTGATAGAAACACTGATACATCCTGAGGTGTACTTCCTGAAATGTACACCCTAATCTTTTATTTATTTATTTATTTCCGGGCAGTAAGAGAATCAAAGTGTGTGATGTAACTTAAAAATTGCTTCAGATTCACTCAAATTCTCAGGCTCCCTTCATTTCCTTCTTGTTTCCTTATCTTTTAGCCTCTTCCGGGGAAACACTAAGAGAAATTTAAAAATCTTAATGTCTGCTCTTATTTTCATTTTGAAATTCTCACTCTACCTTGTACCTAATATACAATAGAAACATCTTTGTTATCTGAGTGCAAAATAAGTGAAAAAGTGTAATAATGAACTGGCAAGTAAACAGAGCTACACCTGCTGTCGTAATTATACGCAAATGTCAAAGAGCTTGGCATTCAACGTAACAGCACATCCCTGGTGTGAGCCTCCGCCAAGTCACAGAGATTTTGCTAGCGCTCAGGCCTTGGAGAGCTCATCCTACGTGACGTGCAGAGTGATCCACAGCAAAACCAATCAAACCTGCAGAGATTCCTGGGCCCCCATTCTCCTCCCCAAATCCCTGGGGATTAGTCTGCTCTCCAAACGCTAACCAAAGCGCAGCCCAACTTCCAGTATCGACAGAACCTACAGACCACAGAGCTCCCTGCAATGGGTCCGCAGGGGTGCTGAGGCATTTGCTTGAACAGAGCCAGCTGAAATTCTCTTCATTGCCAGGCCCCAAACCCGACTGTGTAAGACACTTGTTGGCCTGGAAACCTGTAACTGCACGTTCTGTGTGAGTCTCAGACCATGAAATTAATGACTAACGCTGTCCATCAAAGTCAAACACACATCCCTAAACAGGAACAATGTCATCCTGTTGGACCCAATCAGAAGAAACAACCTCTGACCTTTAACATTGACCTTTTAACCCTGCTAATGCATCTGAATCCAAACCTAGGATCCTAACAAATTTTATATGTTTTGCTAATAAAAGTTTTCATAAAAATTTTCTTGTATTTCCACAGGACTTTTGTTCTGGGCTGTTAAAAAGACTAGTAGTCCTACGTTCATTCTACCACTACTGAAAAGTACAGAGATTCCAGAAAAAGCATGACACGGAGTCAAAGCTGCTTTGTGTATCCTCACAATTGTAACCCTCCTACAGTCTCAACCCAAATTTTTTCTTCCCAAGACTCCGTTCCCAAGATACACCTTTAACATTTCATCGATCACCAGTCAACGAAGCAAACCTTAGCCTAGGTGAACTTTAAAACAACAATCTTATTTCAGAGTTCTGATTATTTGTCAGAGTACCTAAACTTTGGAGGTAGACTTCTTAAATTCAGTATGAATTTACTGACTGCCTGGTATGTATCCAGGTAGGGCCACAGACAGTGTCTGGCACTTAACAAGTGTGACGCTTGAGTCTTGGACAATTGGCTAAGTTTGGACAAACAGACAGGAAAGAGGAGGACAGTCCAGAGATGGACATAGTCAGGGAAAGCGTAGAAACGGAGTCTGATGGGAGTAAAGGTCATGTGACAGCACAGAGTGGGAAATAAGACTGTGATGGAGAGGCAGGGTGAACTAAGAGCTTGTTAAGGGTCAAGGTAGGTTTCTAACTGCATCAAAAGGCCATCAGAGGCTTTGCCTATCATGGGCTTTCAGAAGGCCACGCCCAGGAGTAATACAAGTTTGAGACACAAAGAGCAAACCCCTCATTAAATATCAGAAAGCTACATTTGTTGTACCGTGGAGTAAAGCTTAAAAGACAAACAGAGATTTGAATTCTCAAAGGTTTCATTTACATTAACTGAAGTAAAAGTCACCAGTTTACAGTGATAACAACATCGAGTTAAATAACAATATATAGAAAGTTTGGGGTTTAAAAAAATGCATACCTTAGCATGATGTAAATCTACCCCGTACATGGACAATTTTTTGGCATTTTCCAAGAAATGCATCTCTGCTTCTGCTGGCGTCATTCCTCTGATGAGAAGAAAAATACGTTACAATGATGCTTTTCCCTTCCCTGGTAGGCTGCAATACTTCCCACTTAGCTCCATGCTATCTCATAAGAAGTCCTATGGAGGCACCAGCAGACACATGAGAAAAGAAGAAGAAAAGGGCTTTGCAAGAAAGCACTACAAATGAACACCTGGATGCTCTGAGTGAGAGCTTACCCATCTCAGAATTTTACCGCGCATGGACCCACACTACGCTCAACTCTCGCCGTTAATGGACGAAATCAGTACTGTGAAGAGGTGGGTTATATGCGGGACACTCCCCCATCAAGGCACAACTTAAATGAATGCGCTCAGGGCTTCTGCCTCTAACCTGTGGCTCTTGTGCAGCTCGATCACTTTGTCTTCCAGTTCTTTAGTGTGGTTTGGTGCAAAGCGGAACTCACTAATGTAATCGCTCCCACATTCATCCGGGTCATAGTCTCCGAGCTCTGACTGGACAGTGTAGGAGCCCAGCAAGGCCAGAGTAACGAAGGAGCAGGGCAGCCTTCCGGACACGATGTCATCTCGCAACTGCAAGCAGAGGTAGTACCTTCCAGAAACCGAAAGCACAAGACAACAAAGGCCAGCATGAGGATACAGGAAAAGGAGGTCACTTGGTAAAAATTGTGGGTAAATAATTTCTCCCTGTAGAACAACCTCTCTAGGATAAATGTTCTAGCATCTATATATTTTGATATTTCCTTCATACATATTTGTTCTAGATAGAAGGGAAAGATACTTGGTTACAAAAGACAGTATTTAAAGGCATTTAGAAGCAAGTCAATGTTCATAATAGGGTTTTATTAATAAAGCAAGTCTAAAAGAAACTTAAAGACATATTCTTCTAACATCTTTTAAAATAACTTTTAAAGTCAAATGAACAGTCCCCAACACATTTTCTGAAATCCTTGGGTGGGGGAATTATAATGTAAAAATGCTCTTAAATACAGTTATGTGCCACAAAATGATGCTGCAGTCAATGATGGATCACATATATGATGGTGGTCTTATGAGACAAAAATGGAGCTAAAAAATTCCTATTGCTTAGTGATGTCATAGCTCTCTTAATGTCATAGCATAACACATTAGTCACGCATTTGTGGTGGTGCTGGTGTAAACAAACGTACTCATATAAAAGACTAGCACATACAATCCCGTGCAGAACTTAATACTTGATAACAAGTGACTATGTTACTAGTTTATGTATTCACTATGCCATACTTTTTATCATTATTTTACAGTGTACTCTTTCTACCTGTAAAAACACAAAGTTAACTGTAAAACAGCCTCTGGCAGGTGCTTCCGGAGGTATCAGAAGAAGGCACTGTTATCCCAGGAGATGACAGCTTCATGTGTGTTATTGTCCCTGAAGACCTTCCAGTGGGACAGGATGTGTAGGTGGAGACACTGATACTGATGATCTTGACCCTGGGTAGGCCTAGGCTAATAATATATGTGTTTATGTCTTAAGTTTTTAACAAAAGAGTTTTAAAAGTAAAAACAAATTATAAATTTTAAAAATAGAAAAAAACTCACAGAATAAGGATATAAAGAAAGAAAATATTTTTGTGTAGCTGTACAATGTGTGTTTGAAGCTAAGTACTACTACAAAAGTCAATTAAAAAGTTTAAAAAGTAAAAAAAATACAGTAAGCTAAGGTTAATTTATTATTGAAGAAAGAAATTTTTAAAAATAAATTGAACGTGGCCTAAGTATACAGTGTTTATAAAGCCCACAGTAGTGTACAGTAATGTCCTGGGCCTTCCCATTCACTCATCACTCACTTACTCACTCACTCAGAGCAGCTTCCAGTCCTGCACACTCCATTCATGGTAAGTGGCCTATACAGGTGTACTGTTAAAAAAAATCTTTTATATTGTATTTTTCTTGTATGTTTTCCATGTTTAGATATACAAATACTTGCCATTGTGTTATGATTTCCCACAGTATTCAGTACAGTCACATGCTGTACAGGTTTCTAGACTAGGAGCAATGGGCTTTATCATAGAGCCCAGATGAATAGTAGGCTCTACCAGTTAGCTCTGTGCAAGTCCACTCTAGGATGTTCACACAACAACAAAATCATCTAAAGATGCCTTTCTCAGCACGTGTCCCCCATTGTTAAGTGATATGATTGTGTGATTATTAGGCCCCAATTAGCCTTATGGAAGTATTTTGATATTAAGGTGACCGGTCTTACTATATGAACAAAACAGATTGCAGGTAACTCAACAGCTATCTCATTATAAACTTCACTCTCAATTTCCTGCATTCTTAATGAGGTAGTCTCTTTATAATAACACAATTTCTCCTGTTTTCAGTTCTCATTTTTAAAATTTATATAGCTTCTTAAAATCTATCTAAGATATAAAGATTTCCTACCTTAAAATTCGAGAATCTTGTCACCATAAACAAACAGTTTTAAACTGGAGAAATTAACATTTTCCATGTAATTTTGCCATATCCTAAAAATATGACCTACATAAAAACATGTTGATTTGTCTTTTCTGTTATTTTGCTTTTAAGACTTACAGATAAATTACTAACTGCCAAAGATCTCAAGGTAAGTGTTAACGTTGATGAGTTTTAATAATATCAAGCACAGCCTCACATATGGACAGAACAAAGCACACCTGGTACCTTGTATATAAGAATGAACTGTTCATCTGTGGAAGCAGAGGACTATGATAAAGTCTTAAGGTCCCCTCTAAATATGATTTTAGGCTGGTGACATAAATCCATGTAATTATGACAGAAAAATCCTTAAACATTTAACAGGCTCTACAAGTATTACATGAGTCAACAGAAAGAAACCATGCACTATTTTCTCTCTCCCTTTTTTTTTTTTTTTTGGAGATGGAGTCTCACCCTGTCACCCAGGCTGGAGTGCAGTGGCACAATCTCAGCTGACTGCAAGCTCCGCCTCCCAGGTTCACGCCATTCTCCTGCCTCAGCCTCCCAAGTAGCTGAGAATTCAGGCACCCATCACCACGCCTGGCTAATTTTTTTTGTATTTTTAGTGGAGATGGGGTTTCACCGTCTTAGCCAGGATGGTGCTGGGATTACAGGCGTGAGCCACCACACCCGGCCCACCATGCACTACGTTTTCAAATCCAGGTATATATGGGCTCTATAACCACAAATTAGCCAAAATTTAGTTCTTCAACAGCAACTAAAAAGTATCTTTAAGTAAGAAATTATAAATTTTCTCTGATTTATTGCAAATATAAGAAATCCTCTGGAACTAATTTTTACCCTTCTCTTAATATGTCTGGTGAAATTATTTTTAACTGTAGCAAGTGATTAAAGTTGTTTTGAGTAATTTCCCTTTTCTGTAAAGCCCTCCAAAAAGAATGCAAAGCTTACACAGAAAATTCTGCACACACTGCACAAAATTGCTTTGACTGGTCATAAACTTACTACTGAGCTGAGCAAGAGAGTAGGAGTTCTAAGGTGAATGCAGAGAAGCCTAGAAGGTCAGAGCACACGAGGAACAATGAACTGAGTGTCCGTGTGCCCTCCCCTCCAAATCCATACGTTCGAATCCTACCCTCAAGATGATGGGATCATAAGGTGGGGGTCTCTGGGAAGTGATTAGGGTGGAGCCCTCACGAATGGGATTAGTGCCTTTATAAAAAAGACTGGAGAGAGACCCCCCTCACCCTTTCAACACATGAGGACACAGTAAGAAGTCAGCATCCTGCAATCCAGAAGCGGATCCTCACCAGGACCTGACCTGCGGGCACCCTGATCTCAAACTTCCAGTCTCCAGAACGGTGAGAAATAAGTTTCTATTGTTTATCAACCACCCACTTTATAGTATTTTGTTATAGCAGCCCAGATTAAGACATCCAGTACAGCTTTATAATGAGATCCCCTTTCACACTCAAAGCTGTTACTGAAATATTTTTGTTTTGATTTCCTTCTTAATATCTTCTTTCTAGAAAACAAATTAATCATTTTCCTTGTATACGCAGGACATAGAAAGTAAACACTTAAATTTATGTGTGTGTGTATGTGTTGGTTATATAAAAAGCACAAGCATCCAAGGACATTTTTACTCTACGTATTAAAGCAGAAAAACTAAGAGCTGCTATATCATATAAGGATGAATCCCATCCAATTTGACTATGGTGGGTGGATGACAGTATCTCAATTCTGCATGTTTTCCCACCAGGGTCAAGCAGAGGGAATATCATCCTGGCACCAAAGATTCAACTGTGAAAAGATAGGATTTGGCAAATCTTCTCATCAGATGTTTGCTCTTGTTCATTTGCCTTTTGTTTGCCATTTCAGCGTGGACGATTGTAAGGCTACCAGATGTAAGCACACTCCTTTCCGGAGCATTGAAGAGAAGCACAACTCTCCCAGGACACTTGTCTTTTGAATAGCCTTTCAAATACCTGGTGATATCTTCAGATAGCTGGGCAGGGTCTGGTGGGTAAAATTTCACATTAAATGAAAAGTGCCAAGCACCACCTGCAACGATGGAAAAAAATTAGAGTAAAACCTCGAGAAAAATCTTATGACTCTAATTGATGGCCAGAACAGTCTTAACTCCAAGCATTAACACCCAGGCAACTTTTGACCATTAATGGAAAACTGGGAAACCTCGGTGATATGAAATCTACAGATAAGTCTGAAACCTCGTCTAATTTCTAAACTTCTCCCCAGTCAAATCCTTTATTGGTATGTTTAACCAGTAAGGAAACTGATCAAACTTCCTACCTTTTTCAGAATCAAAGGTAAGCACTTGGAAGAAGGAAAAAACATGAATGATACGAATAATCTTCAATCAGGTAAGTCTAGGAGTGGCTGGATTTATTGCTGCGAATGTCTGGATAGCTCACAGACCAACATTACAAACATGATTCCCATTTTCTTTGTCCTTTCTGCTTTGTTATTACAGGTCAAATCTAATTATAATAAACGTCAAGGGACTATTCAACATACATTTGTTTTATGGGAAAGGTTTGTTGCAGTGAACAGTGTTCTAGTAAGTGGGCTGCTCTGTGGGCTGTTGAAAATTATTTTCTTGCTCAGGGAAATTTTTGATGCAATAGGTACTTGAATGTATTTTCTGCACATTGCCAAATTTTGCACCTGCACCTCCATAGCCTGACACTTAGCCGGATCCTTTTTATGCTTTGTGATCTTTATCCTGTGGCCTCTACTCAAGGCCTCTCCAGCACTGAAAAGGGTCAACCAGGAGTCAGCTCACAAGTGTCTACTCTCTGTATTGTCAACACATATCCTTGAAACATTATGAAGCCTTAACGAAGCTCCACATCTCATTAATACTATCTCTACTTGTATATGGTTTATCAATATAAACATGGAAAATACCCTTTTCTTTTTTTCTACATTTACTATGTGATCATTACTTTAACTTGTAGTCACTCTGTTCTTCTGGCCTGTAAATGCAGTAACTTACCAAAGTCTGGGTATCCCTTCTCTGTGGTGCTGTTTATATTTGTTCCCTCTACCCAAGAAGTACACTAAAAGTGCCATAGCCTAGGTCCTGCTTGTATTTTGAATGGTTTACTGAAAAACTCCTCCCAATCCCCCAGGCTTCCACCCTGGAGATCTTTCATCCATGCTTCACCCAGTGGCCACTGACCTGCCCTTACTCTAGGATTCTGTGACTTCACATTCCACCCCTTATGCTTCCAATACTCTCCTAAGACTTCCAAATCTCCCTGTCTCTCCATTAAATGACTTCTGGAAACTTCATTGCTCCATGAGCCCTTCCCAAACATTCAAAAGAAGGTACAGTACTGTATTTCCTAGATCCTTTCTCTGCATTGTTCTCTTGCATCTGAGGCAATATTTAGCTTCATCAGTTTCTTACATTCTGTCATAAATGGCATAGATCCATGTATTACTTATAGTTAATTCTTAACACTACCACTGACATCACATTTACGATTCTACATGGCAGGAACTCTACCTGATGCCTTATAGAGGTGCCCTATAAAGGATTTAGCATAGGACCAAGCATTATTGGGAACTTAATATCATTTTTAAACCATTCAAATACATCTGTCAGCCGAAAACATTTCAGTGAATGTTTTTCCCACTGTTCTCAAAAAAGTCCTTTTGTTTTTCCAAAAATAGTCTGATTTGGTTGTATTTTCTTATTGATTCCTACTCACTTCCTATTAAAATAGATCCCTTCAATGCTTGCCAGTGGTAAGGTTCATCATGAGAGCTGGCTTTCCCCCAAGCAAGTAGAATTAAAACTAATGGATTAGTTACGGGAAATGCATTTATTGCTCTTTTATAATTTTTATTCACTTCAACGCAGGCCCTGAATCCAATGATTAGTTTAGCAATGTAATTACACAATCTTAGAATAAATATCCAAGTTAGACACTAATAAGTAACAAAATATACAGAAAAGACATTTAGTGCCAAAATCCTCATTCTAGGAAAGCAAGTTTCAACCTACAGTGAGCCAAAGAAATACCTGAGGTACCCATTAAAAATGCCAATTCCCAGGCTTCCTCCCAGGAATTTTTATTTCAGAGATTTGGAATATGGCCTAGGAATTTATGGCTTCAGTAAGCTCCCTTACGGTTCTAATAATAAAAATGGTCTTTGGAAACACATTTTGAAAATCACTGCTACTACTAAGGAATCCACTTCCCTAAGGTTATAACACACAAAAAATACACCTTTCAGGACAGTATTTTGAAACAATGGGAAAGTGTACAGAAACTATAATACCTCAATCAAGGAAAAAAAAAAAGTCCAGTTAAATGGGCATAAAACTGGAAATTAATGAGAGAGGCAGATTAAAGCTCAAATACATATCCCCATAAAGAATGTGACAGAAACAAATCCACTGAGAAGGAAGTGCTTATGCAATAAATAAGTTTGCAACTCTATATCTGCTCAAATGAGGGCCCTAGTTAGAAAGAGGAAATGAAACAGCTTGAACACATTAAAATGAATATTTCTATAATGCTGATGTGAAATTTTAAGTTACAAATGTATGATAAATAGAAAATTGTAACACTGATAGTTCATTCTTAAGAAAAATTTCTAATGTTAGTCTTTTATGTCAGACAAATCTTAAAATTTCTAACATACTGTATTTTTGTCATAAAAGTATGATATATGCTCTATGTTATAAAATTACTGTATCATAAAACATACTTAAAGATCACAAAATATAGTCTATTTAGACATTTTAAGATCCAGCATGCATAAAAGATGACTGGAATAAGAATTTTTTTTCATAAGAACTCTTCAGTTTCAAAATTTTCTGTTTCTTAGAAGCAGGGTCTCACTCTGACACCCAGAATGGAGTGCAGGGCACAACCACAGCTCACTGCAGCCTTGAACTCCTGGGCTCAAGTAATCCAACCCCCTCAACCTCCCCAGTAGCCAGGACTAACTAATCACAGGCATGTGTCTCTGCACTCAGCTAATTAAAACAATTTTTTAAAAAACATAGAGACAGGGTCTCACTATGTTGCCCAGGCTTGTCTTGAACTTCTGGCCTCAAGTGATCCTCCCGTCTTGGCCTCCCAAAGAACTGGGATTATAGGCATGAAGTTTTAGAATTTTCTATTTATCATAAATTTAGACTTAAGACATTTGTTAGCTTTGTTTCCATTTTCTTAGAGATCTCATTCTAAAGGAATACTGTAAGCCCACAGCATAAAAAGCATGGAAACATCCTTTTATCATTTATATTTTAGAAGTAGAGATGATGGTACAATAATTACATTAGATAAGGTAATACTTCTCTGCCTTCGTTGAATGTAAAATTTTGTGGCAAGAGGGCATTTTAGTGGATGGGAAATAACAAAGAATACAGGTAAAAATATGGAATTCTATTTTTAAAGAAATTCCAATTTTCCTTGTCTCTTTTATCTGCAAGACTGTCAGTTTTCTTTATGGCAAAGTCATATACACTGCCTAATCTGCATGGTAAAAAAAATCCGTTAAAACTCTTGTTTTGATTATCTTGTCCCTTTAGCTTTCTTCTCTTTGAAAGGATGGTAGAAGACAGTATAAATGGGAAGTTAAAGAAAAAATGAATCCTATTAATAATAAAAAAGAAAATTAGTTTATGCAGCCTTTCTCCTGTCATGATATTATGACTTATCCTTGAACATTTTATATATTGTCAAAGTGCTTTGCAATTATTAATCAGCTCAGTAGTCCATTAATTAGATGAATAAGAGAACTTCATGCACACAAAATGTTACGATATATATTCAGCATGTCTACTTGAATAACTCTTTAATACTCCTTAGAAAAATATTTACCTTAATTTTTTTCTTAGGATTCCTCAGAACAAAAAATAAGTAGTGTTTTCATCTATTTATCACAACTACAGCTATCTCTGGTTTCCATCTCAATTAACTGTTTCTATTAACCTAATTTGTTATCAAGTTTCTGGTTAGTGGATACATCAAATTTCCCTCAAACATACGGAAAAGATGTCTTAATTGTATAAATAATCAGTGGACTTTCTTATATCTGGAAGTATGGTTATACTTTTGTCTTTCTCGGATATTATCTAGTATTGAACCATTTCCAAACTGTTCACTACTAATTATGTTTTATTAGTAGTTGGGGTATTATTTCGATAGCTCAGGACTTTCAAAGGCACTAAGAAGTATTTGCTTGCTCTTTTAATAGTAAACTGTTGAAAACTTTTACTTATTGAAATGGGAATGATGTTCTTATTAATAAACTGCTCTTAAATGTATTCTTTAACTAGAATTAGTTGTTTGGAAGAATTTAGACTTTACTGACAAAAATATGAATAAAAATATAGTTATTTTAAGTTAGTATCCATGTTTACGGCAAAAGTAAGAGCTATAGCAAAGGGTAAAAAATTTTAAAAACTCCTCCTCCTCAACCCCTGCATTGGATGATATACTTCTGGAGTAATTACCAATAAAATCTTCCTGCCTTCCAAAAGTTTTCCATGCATCTATACAGATATAATTTTTTAAAAACAAATGTGATTGTGCGATAGAAAATATTCTGCAAACTGATTTTCACTAAGGAGAGCTAATATGTATTTATGTGGCTATTCCATGATTGACTTAATAATTTCTTTATACATGGATAATTAAGGTGCTTTTAGTTTTCTCCTACTGTAAATAGTAAGATAGTGAACCTTCATTTGCTATACAAATGCACATTTTCCTCATTAATACATATGCTGAATAAATTTCCACAAGTGAAATTAAGGGTCAAAGAGTAAGTACAGCTTAAATTTTAATAAATATTGACAAACTGCCCTCTGAAATGATTGAACCAACTTATTCTACCAATTGAGTAAATAAGTGCTATAGTATATTATTAAACCCTAATTCTTTGGTCATCTGAATAGGTGAAAAATGATGTGTCATTTTAATTTGCATTTAATTATTAGTAAAATTTAGCAACTTGTTTAATACTTATTAGCTACTTGTATTTTGAATTTGTCACTTGCTCATGCAATTGTTTGGTCCATTAAAATATGTATTTTTCAAATTGCCTTCAGGGGACTAGGAAAAGAGGCTGTTACCAGACAGTAACCTTCAGTTTGACTTGTTATTCCTTTTCAAAGCTATGAAATGATTATGACTTTTATCTGGCCTTTCATACTTCTGTGACTGTTGGAACATTAATAATGCAGTTTGGAACTTTTAAATGGTTAACTGCCAATTCTAACATCAGTTGATTAAATCATATACTTGACATCTATTCACAGGCAGAGAAACAGGCCAAGCATCGCAGTCCCTTTGACTCCCAAGTTGTGACAACTACAAAATGAATACTATCGGAATTGCCAGATCAAATTTGACACAAGAAAAGCAGGTATTCACACTAGCCACTTAGGTATGGGCTACAAATTCCGACAACTTGCTCTCTGAAAACCTTCACATTTCCAAAAAAATAATCCAAAGGAACTTACTTCGAACCTGTTTTTTTATTTCCTTAGCAGGGTCCAACCAATTCTGAAAAGGAAATGACATTTTGAATTTGAATCAGAGGAGAATAAAAATGACTTAATGTTGATTAGGTACAGACTCTCCCTAAACGCAATGAGAAGTCAGTGGTTGTTGGAAGGCTTCCCTCACTGTGGTCCTTGCCCCACATCTGGTGCCCCCTGCCAAGCCCTCCAAAGGCCCAGGCACTGGTCTAATGAGAAAATGCACATGTATGAAGTTTGGGCCCGACAAAAGTCTTTTTCTTTTATAACCATTGCCTTCAGGGATTCAAGCTAGCACAGAAACGGAGGGGAAAAGGCAGAAGATTCTATGTTCAAACAAGTTACTAGGATAAATTAAAAAATATACTGGATATACTGACATCCTAGCTATTCAGTTCCACATCAGAGACTTCTGTAATAAAAGATCCTCAGGCATCCACCTAGGAAGCTTCCCTAACAAATCAACAGTTGCTTGTGATTTCTGATTTTTCTCACTGGTAAAATCAGATGTTTAATAATGAAGTTAGGCATTGTCTGGAGAATTCGGGAGGTATTAAGGATGATTTATGGCACAACACCAAAACTAGTAACAACTATGAGCAAAATTTCTGACTCAGCTTCCAGTGTGAATGCAATGGAAACGATTTACTTTTCTGTATTTCTCAGGTAGTTACGTGGATTAAGGAGATACAGCCCTGAACAAAGTCTACAGAGATACTGCATTAAACATAAAACATGTAGTAAACACATTAGATAAGTGTCAGCTAAGCACACAATTCCCCCCATATTCTGATTTAAGAAACAATATGAAAGCATAAAAAGATGAATGAAAAATAGGACAGCAGCAATAGTGGACTGCCCTGACAATTTATGGGTTAGAACCATAATATCTTCATAGAATTTTGGGGTATGAGCATGATTTTTACATAAATATCAATTTATTTGCATTAGTTCAAATAATCTACTGAAATATATTACCCGCCACCCCCCGCAAAAGGTACCGCATAAAATGCCTTCCAGGAACCACAAATAACTCAAGCATGAAAAACAAGGGTTCATTTACTGTTACCAGAATATTCCAGATTAAAGGAAGCTATCAGTGATTTCCTTCATCAAGGAATAGATGATTAACATTTACAGACTCAAAGTAGAAAGTGTGGGAGTATGAAGGGAGGTGGAGAAAGTGATCCACCCATTCAGTCTCAGTTCACTTTCTGGCAGTAATGAGCAGTTCAAGCCCTCTTATTTTGCATTGCTTTTGATCACTCACCTTCTGGTTTTCAGCATCTCGATACGTAAGCCCAAAGTAGTCTTTCTCTAGCAAGTTCAAGTGTTCACACACTTTATCAAACAGCACTTGTCCTCTGGAGCGTTTCTACAGGAAACAGAAAAGCAAAGCAAGTCAATAGAACACAAAGAAAGTTCTCCCAAACGTCAGAGATAAAACCAGGTAATATTTAAAACATTGCTTGGTGTAACTTTAGGGAGTGACCGACAAGTGTGGTCACTTTGCCATTTCCTGTTAAGTGCAAAAAAGACTAAAAAATGGGGGTTGGGGGGTAGGGGGGAGGCTTCAATCTACAAAAGCCCACCCCTACGAATAAACAAACAAAAGCAAAGTATCAACAGTGCTACTTAGTACGTACAGGTGACCAGTGGCTGATTTCTAAATAGAAGCAATTGGGGAAAATAATGTGATGCTTGGAAGCCTAAATATGTGAAATATAAAAATCCTGATAGTGAAATAGTATCTAACAAACCAACAAAAGCCATATTGCAGAGTGCCCTAACTCAATTATCTGGATCAGGAGTCCTCAACCCCTGGGCCGTGGATGGGTACTGGCCCACGGTCTGTTAGGAACCGGGCTGCACAGCAAGAGGTGGGTGGCGGGCGAGCAAGCATTACCGCCTGAGCCCTGCCTCCTGTCAGATCAGTGGCAGAATTTGATTCTCATAGGAGTGCGAACCCTATTGTGAACTGTGCATGCAAGGGATCTAGGTTGCGTGCTCCTTACGAGAATCTAATGCCTGATGATCTGAGGTGGATCAGTTTCATCCCAAAATCATCCTCCACCCCAGTCCATGGAAAAAAATGGTCTTCCATGAAACTGGTCCCTGGTGCCAAAAAGGTGGGGGACCGCAGCTCTATGAGATAAACTTCTGAGCCTGAGAAGAATTAACCTTGCTCCTGGTCTTAGGCAGACTCTCACTTAAAACTTTCTATCCCAAATCCTTACTTAGAAATTCTAAGGACTACTTTCTAAAATCCATTAAACAAATTTCATTATTTTTGTTTTGTTTTTCTTTTGTCACCAATTTCAGTTTGTACAGAGTTTTTCTCAATGTTTTTAGAGCAAATCCTTATTAAACATAACAAAATATTAAGTTTAAAGTATACTTGAGTTATCATAGATAAATACAAAATAGAGATATATGAGTTATATTTCTGACCATCAAGCAGGCATCTGGAGAAAAAGGTAGTCATTTGGAAAAAAAAATTCATTGGCTTAATTTATTGTGACATATCATTTTTTCATCTAATCGTTCAAAGGCCTTTAAACATAGTCATGAAGTCTGTGATGAATTAACTGGCAACAAAAAAACTAAACCAGTTTTTTATTAGTGCACTACTAACATTTTACATCTAATACATTAAGCATATTTGTCTTTAAGATTTAATGTAATACCAATGAGAAATATGAAAATTGATCAACTATGTCTATGCCAAAATAATAAGCATTCAAAAGACCTGTGAGTCGTGTGTTGTGTTACTGTGCAGCTGTAATTATGCTGAAAGCAATTACTCAGTCCCCTCAAGCATGACTATATAGGAGAAAAGGCAAATGTATGATAGAAAAGTAGGCCTAAATCATAGCTAGCTAAATAATCAGTGATGTATTTGGAAAAAACAGTTCCATAAAGTATTATGAAAATAAATTACTTGTTAGCAAAACTATATAATAACATTGCTCATCGGCTATGAATAAATATTACAACAATGAAGCCCCTGCTTGCTGGTTTAAATCATTTATTTATAAATAAAAACATATTATTTCTGAATAATCCTTCACAAATTATAAAGTTTTCACAAAAATTGGTTCTTCTGATGCTTCTATTGGTATGATCTGCTGTTCACAGATAAGCACAGAGGTTCAAAGCAGTTGGATGAGACAGACAGTCTTATGTGATGATCTGGGAAGTGATTTTAGAATCAGGTAAACCCGGGCTTGAATCTTCAGGATGTCCCTTGAAGCTATGTAAAATGGGTATGACACTACTTGCTTCTTTGGGATGGATGACATTAAAATCAAACAATGTATTCAAACGTGGTCTAGTGGTGGCATATTTATTAAGCATTCCATAGATGTCAGCCATTATTATAGCCTGGTGGCTGACAAACGGTAGAATAACTAAAGTAGAGCAGATTATTACGCATGTTTTCTATAGGAGCACATATCCAACTCCTGGTGGCGCCAATAAGCAGCTTTATAATTAACATGTCCCACTCTTTAGATATCAAATGCCTACTTACTACCTAATTGCTTTAGCTTGACCTTTTTTTTTTTTTTTTTAACCTACATACACACAACATAGAAAAATATATATCAGTGTCTGGCCAAATACTTTCTCAATGAGTAAAACAAAACCCAAAACAAATGCAAACACAAAAACTTTTCTCCACAAGGCTTCACAGGACCCTATGTCTCCTATATTCTCTGACTCAAGAGACTGCAGCCAGTTCTCAACGGAGGAATCATTTCTGAATATGCTGCAGGCTGCCCTGGTCATAGTTACAATTCGCCACTTTCTGGCTGCTGTGTTCTTTCCTTTGCCTAACAAGAGACATGGGTTAGCTCAAGCACAGACTGTTAATGCTACCTGGCTCTCACTTGTCTAGTTCCTTGCAATTTGATTTCTATTAATGAGTCCCACCTTTCTCCTAAATAGACCAGACCTTTTCTTACCGAATATTTTAAACACATTTTAAACACTAGTTTTAAAGACAATGACATACTAGTCCACACTGGAGATTTTTTTTTCCTAGCCCTTAGAGCTGAGACCAGTTGTCTGATATCAACTGTAGATGGTTATATCATGGGATGGAAGCAATGAAATTCTGACCTGCTAAACATAAGCAAGGCCACCAGCCAGCTGGGTGACTCTGGAAAAGGCTTTTAAGTTATTTGGGTCTCCATTTTCTCATCCTTGAGTGGGGATGTAAGATTCTACTGGGCAAGACGTTTATGGGCTTGAGGCTCTTACTGGGCTTCCTTTTGCAAACCACTAATGGATTGAGGCACTCTCTCCCATAGCACCCAGATCGGGCATCAGCATCCTTCTACACATCATGATGAGAAAGATGCTGCCAATGGATGGAGGTGGGACATGACATGAAACTTATTTTCCAGCCCTGGACTAGATCCCTTCTCTCCCAACTCTAAAAGTTTCTTGATTCTTCTAACCAGATGATTTCTTTTTCTAGCATATTATTCAACTTTCCAAGTCAACTAATTCTACTTGTTGATATCTGCATGTACCTGCAGGTAATAATGTTTATCATATGACTAAATCTCAACCATCAATCAGACTGGAAATTTTGGAGAAATTATGTTTGTTATGGCTCCAAAGACATGTTGTTCATTAAGTAATCAAATCTAGGTATCTTACTATCATTGGGTGTGGTTACATGCTACCCTATGAGTCAAGAACAGAGTAATTTAAAAGAAAAAAAAAAAAGATAGAGGTATTCTAAACTAATGGATAATTTACCTAATCAGAAAAGACTGAGATTTTAGTCTTACAGTTCTTTGTGAGTGGTTAAATCATCTCTGACTCAAAAGCATTCAGTTTGTGTATAGTATTCAGTATGATATCATCCCCAAAATGTGATTTTACTTTCCTAGAGTAACAAACCAATGGTAGCTTGCCCTCTTCTTAAAATTTCCCCTGACAAACTGCATTTCTGTTTCTGATAAGGTAAACGGACATACTGCAGTCCAACAATCAGGAAAGCTTTAAATGAAATATCCTAAAAATGGCATATCTCCAAATAACAAGTTTCATAACTTTTTGCACTTTTTCTTTAATTAAAAAATTTTCCAAATTGATTCTTGAAATTGTTGGGTGTTAGGAGATGTTTGTCAAAAGAGAACTTAAAGAGAATGAAAAGGTAAGCCAGAGACTGGCTGAAAATATTTGCAAAACACGTATCTGATAAAGAACTGGTACCCAAGATATACAAAGAACTCTTAAAACACAATACGAAAACAACCCAATTTAAAAATGGGCAAAATATCTGAAATGACACCTTACCAAAAATATACAGAGAGCACATAAGCATATGAAAAGATGTTCCACATCCAATGTCATTAGAGAACTGCAAATTCAGACAGCAGTGAGATAGCTCCACACGTATGTTAGAATGGCTAAAATCCAGAATAATAAAATTACCAAGCGCTGGTGAGGATGTGGAGCCACAGGAACTCTTCCTCATTGCTGACAAGAGTGCGAAACGGTAGAGCTGCTCTGGAAGACAGTTTGGCAGTTTCTTACAAAACTAAACCTATCCTTGCAGTATTCAACAATCATGCTCCTCGGTATCTACCCAAATGAGTTGAAAACTCATGTCCATTCAAAAACTTGCACACGAATGCTTATAACAGCTTTATTCATAATTGCCAAAACTTGGAAGCAACCGAGAAGTCTTTCTTTATGTGAATGAAGACACAAACTGTGGTGCATCCAGATAATGGAATAATGTTCACTGATAAAACAATGAGCTATCAAGATATTAAAGAACCTTAAATGCATACTGCTAGGTGAAAGAAGTTCATCTAAAATGAATGCATACTGTATGATTCCAACTACTCCCATTATCTATGGGATTTTATGTTCCAAGGCCCCGAGTGGATGCCTAAAACCGCAGGTAGTAGTGAATGCTACATATTCTGTTTCTTCCTATACATGCATACTTTTGATAAAGTTTAATTTATAAAATAGGCACAGTAAAAGATTAACAATAACTGATAGTAAGATAGAATAATTACAAAATAAACTGTAATAAAAGTTATGCGAGTGTGGTCTCTATCTCTCCTTCAAAATATCTTATTGTACTGAACTCACCTGCTTTCAGACAGTGACTGTGGGTAAGTGAAACTGTGGAAAACGGTATGGGGAAGTGAGACTGCAGATAATGGGTGGGGGGGACTATTGTACATATCATCCTGGAAAAGGCAAAACTAAGGGAAAAAGGCAAAACTAAAGGCAAAAAGACCAATGGTTGCCAAGGGTTTGGGGGTAGGGAGGGATGAATAGGTGGCTAACAGGGGATGTGGGGGACAGTGAAACGGTCCATTATCTGTATGATCATGAAAT